CTGGATTCGACTCAGCCTCTAACCGAAACGAGTACCAGGAATCTTCTTGGGAGTAAAGGGCGGCCGGCCCGTAAGACTGACAACCTTACTGCCACCTGTGAACCGATTGTCTAGAAAACGTGTGAGCTTCGACGTCTCATGACCCTATGGGTCTCCACGGCCTGTTACAGGAATAACTTTACTTTTCATTTTTACTTCATGCACGTATTCGGTGTATGCATAAGTGCTGTCACACAGCCGTGGCTGTTTGGTCGCAGACGCGTACACGGAGATCGTGTCCCTAGCACAGGGACTACGTTGTTTCGGGTTTCGCAACTCAGCTTGTGACACCCCACATTCAGGAGACAGACATATACACTTATTAATTGTTCATAGACAGGCAAATTTATATGAGTCGGCAAGTGATACATCATACATTTGAAATCATCAATTTTATGTGTATTTATATAAATGTACGAGGCTCGTCCACAAAGTAAGTTTCCTGGGGCCGTTTACAGAAACAAAACATAATTTCATGGAAATATTTATTGCAACAGATACAGCAAGTGTTCAGCTATTTTTCAACATAATCGCCACCGGAATTGAGACCTTTGTCATACCGTGGGACCAACTTTTGAATACCTGTGTCATAGAAGTCTGCCGCCTGGGATTGGAACCACTGTGTGACAACTATCTCCGCCTCTCTGTCATTCTCAAATGCTGACGCTCACTGGACAGGAATTTCTTGAGGTGTAGGAAAAGATGGAATTCACTGGGAGCGAGGTCCGGGCTGTAGGGTGGATGATTAAACACCTCCCAGCTGAACTCCTGCAGGAGACTTGCTGTCCGTCGAGGCATGTGCGGCCTAGCGTTATCATCCAGGAAGACAATACCGGCACTAAGCATCCCGCGCCGCTTGTTCTGAATGGCCCGTCGCAATTTCTGCAGTGTTTCACAGTAACTCTCAGCATTCACCGTCTCACCTCTTGTCAGGAAGTCGACGTGGAGAACGCCCCATCTGTCCCAGAATACCGTGCACATCACTTTCCACGCCGACGTCTGCTTGAATTTCGTCTTACAGGGAGATCCACTGTGACGCCAATGAATTTACTGCTGCTTGGTTTCTGGGGTAATGTACAATCCACGTTTCATCACCTGTGATCCGGTCCAGAAACTCGTCGCCGTCATGGTACCACTGCAGAAATGTCAATGCTGACTCCATGCGCTTTGTTTTGTGTTCTGGTGTCAGTTGCTTCGGCACCCATCTGGCACACTATTCCTAAACAACAGGTGCTCCGTGACAATTTCGTGCAACAAGGAGGGGGAAATCTGCGGGACATGACTGCCGAGTTCCGTAATTGTGACGCGACGATTCTCCATAATGCATTCCCGCACAAGCTCCACCAGGTCGTCTGTAATGATGGATGGCCGCCCACTGCGCTTCTCATCATGCACACTTTGTCGACCTGCTGAAAATTGTCTGCACCAGCGACACGCCATCTGCTTGCTCATGAAGTTAGGCCTATAGACCCGGCACAGCTGACGATGAATTTCGATCGGCGCTATGCTCTGTGCATTCAAAAACTTTATCACTGACCACACTTCACAGTCGGCGGGAGTTGGAATAAGAGCCTCCATCTTCAACAGCTGCAACGATGCTACTGTGGGAACGCGGGAAATTCCCTTTATGCATGCGCCATGCTGCGTCATTGCTCTAAATGGTTCGCACAAATTAGTTTCTATTCAGTTCACAATCTAGACAATGGGAATGTTACCCTTTAAGTACTTTAATAGTATTTGAGAAACTTACAGCACCTGAAGATGACCCATTTGATGTCGAAACATGTAATGCGTGCTATATAAGTAATTAAATAAATAATAATATATTGTTGCGTTGACGGTAACAATTATATATGTTCATTGTACATACGCAATAGAATTCAACCCTTAAAAATTTTTATTATCTGCTGATTCCATTAACTCTAGTGGAAATGGATGAAATCGAAATCGAAATCGAATCCTTTTCAATGCTACGTAAGTACGCACAACACCGTGTCACTGCAGGAGCCCAGTAGTGTCTGCTGTTATAGCTCTTTGACCGATGTTGCTACCGGGGTGTTCCATAAGATCTAATGACATCTAATGTGGCTAGCAATGGCACCATATCGACCATTAGCACAGCCTGAAAAGTATTTGACAGAAAATGTCCTTTACATTAACGTCGACTTTTAGCGTAGAGTTAAATACGGCAGGAAGTTAGAGCAGTGTGTCTGGTGTCCTAGGTGTGCCTCCTTGTCCTTGCTGCAGGCGCCGTTTCTGCGGTCGATCCCCACAAACGCGGCCTAGATGACGAGCTGATCTACGAAGCTGAAGGTGATGGAAAAGCAGAAGAGAGCCACGACCTGACCGCAACGAGCTACATCTCAGGTACTTTTGGCAGCCCTCACAAGAATGTGAAGACAGTTGTCCTCACTAAGGAGATCAAGGTCCCTGTTCCTCAGCCATACCCAGTCACTGTTGAGAAGAACGTGCCCTACCCTGTCAAGGTACCTGTGGAAGTTAAGGTGGAGAAACCCGTCCCCGTGCCTGTTGAGAAACCTTATCCTGTTTACGTAGAAAAGAAAGTGCCTTACCCAGTGGAAAAACACGTCCCATACGCTGTAGAGGTTCCTGTCAAGGTGCCTGTCCCTGTTCCTCATGCAGTGCATGTTCCGAGGCCATATCCTGTTCACGTCCCTAAACCCGTTCTCGTCCCTCACCCCGTCTACTTCGAGAAGAAAGTCCCGGTATACATCAAGAAGGAAGAGAACAGTGGGGAGTCGGAGAGCGCTGAGAGCTACAGCAGCTTCAGTGCCGGGGAAGAGCACTACTGAACTCAAGAGGCAGTTCCTGGACAAGTTGCAGACGGAATAGAGGAATCCCGTGAAGAGAGGATTTGTCGCAACTGTCCTTCTAACAAACAGAATTTATTTCACTATTTATTTAATTAGGAACTGTCATTAATTCTGTTAGACAATAAAATTACGGACTGACTTGCCAAAATAAATAAAATAACACTGATAAAATGGATTTTAAACTCTTAACTCAAAATGTAATATCCTCCTCAATTCCTAGGACTTAAAATTATGTAGATTCTACTTAGCACTGGAGCGCTCGTGAAACCAAAGCGACCACAGACGGGGGACGAAACGGTAGAGATGGAATCCCGACGAAGAAAACTCTTCCTGTTGGTTACTTAACGACGAGATTAGCAACTACATTACATAGAGTCGGAAGGTAAGATGAATGACGAATGATGAACTGGAAATAATTTTGGAAGAAAGTGGTCGTGGTTTAATACAGGCACTATACGCGCAGGATGGCCGAGAAGTCGGAGTTCCAGTCTCGGTACGGCAAGAATTACCCCCTCCCCACGCACCCCATATCGGATCTGGGACCCATGCAATCCCCCATGCAATGGGTAACGGGGGCTCTTTCCCCGGGGGTAAAGCGGCTGTGGCGTGAAGCCGATTACTCACCTCCAAATAGCGCTGATGTCAAGAATATATGGAGCTGTACTTCCATTCCCACATACGTCTTCATAGCGTAGTGTTTAACTAGTTAAGCAAAGGAACAATTTTACGTTTTGCCTTTATTATTCCGTCTGAGGAAAAAACACAAAAAACCTAAGTCAGGATAGTCGGTGTTCCCTCCCAGATTGGAACCGAGCACCTCCATAAGGCAAGTGTCAAATTTTAATCGCTAGAAGTCAGCGAAACGTGACATGAGAAATGTCTGCTATGCATTGCAAGTTCCAATGGATAGAGAGCAGAGCAATACACTTCTCTCGAATACAACTATTTGCGCTCTAGAATTCGTAAACTGGGGATACCGTATTTGTCTGCATGTTTCGTTTTTGTAATCATTCAATGCATGTTGATGAAACATATTTTGAGTCTATATTAAGAATTCTTTCTTCCCTTCAGCTTTCTGCGGAGCAAACCCTTACCGTACTTAGTTCAGAATTTACTTTCGAGAGTATAAATACTGGCTTTCCCACCAATATCCTATAAGTATTCCTCTTCTCCCCCATCGTGCTACATGCCCTGCCAACCTCATCCTCCTTGACTTGATCATTCTAATTATACTTGGAGAAGAGTACAAGTTATGAAGCTCCTCATTATGCAGTTTTCTCCAACTTCCTGTAACTTCATTTCTCTTCGGTCCAAATATTCTCCTCAACAAACTGTTCTCAAACACCCTGAGTCTATGTTCCTCCCTTAATGTCAGAGACCAAGTTTCACACCCATACAGAACCACAGGAAAAATTATAGTTTTGTATATTCTGATCCTTACGTTTTTGGACAGCAGACGAGAAGACAAAAGGTTCTGGACTGAATGGTAGCAAGCATTACCTGAGTTCAATCTAGAGAAATTAACCAAGAAGTTGAATTCTCCGTCCCTCTAAGTGTAAGAAACACTTGCATTTCCCGGGCAGCCATTGCTGCAGCAAGTATAAGAGGGAGTTGCAGATGTGACATTGTGCATACAAGCAGTAGTTGCTGGTACAAGCACAGAATGGTTCAGGAGAAGGGAAGTGAATCACTTTCATCTTTGAGAAAGAAACGCACAATATAAGTAGAACTCTACATTCTGGTAGACCCCATCTGTGCAATTTTCACAGTGATGGCAAAGGCTGTTTTCTTAAGTGTCAAAATAGTTCTATTGAAGATATGATTCAGTGTATGATCCATAGACTCTGGGTACAATAAATTTCTGCTCAGAGTTAAAAAGGACACTAAATATTTCTTGTGCCACAACCGTGTCTGAAGAGAATAAAAAGGACAGAAGTAACTAAAAAAATAAGCATAATTTTCATAAGTTCTCCTTTTGTTCACACAGAAGGTTAAACTGATTTTGTATTTTAGCATCTGAATATTACTTTAGTTAGTTAGTTATTGGAGAAGGTGGGTTTCCCCATGCACTTAGACCTGTAGTGGTCCATTGTGCTTCCCTCTATGATTTCTACCAGTCTCTATATCCTACCGGTACTGGTGCTTACCATCAGTCCCTCCCAGCCAGCGAGACCGGCTCTACTAGCTGAGAGGTATCTATAATGCTTCCCCCATCTACCAGAGGTATTAGAGACTGCTGTTGGGCGGGAAACGTCCGTAATTTGGCTCAGTGACCTCCTTTGGAGATATGAGGTTCTTTTACGTGCCGTAAAGCTACGACACGGGACCCACGGCTTAAAGTCCCTCCCGGAGGACTTGTTCCCTGAAATTTTCCGCCCTTAAAAATTCGACGACCTCCGCCGGGTATTTGAACCCGCGTACTACGAGTCATGAGGTGGGAACGTTACCTCTAGACTACGGAGGCCGCTCGAATATTACTTTACTGGTGGGTCTATTGTATTGTATTTTGACTAACTAACTATTTTGATTCTGTCTCCATCTTCATGTACCTTCAGTTAGGACTAGCTCTATCTATTGGGCTCAACTGAGTAGGTTTTACCTGAAGCTGGAGACAGAATCCAGTCTCCGAAACGTTGTGTTTTGAAAAATAAACACGACGATTTTTAGACAAAGACAAAACGATGGATAATGTCCAAAAACATAATATCTATACCAATGAACCATGTCACAAACTTTTAGATCTTACTTCGTAAAATGTTTAGGTATATATAAGTAATCTAATTATTTGCAATCGTGTACTTGTCTCCGTGAAAATACTGCACAATGCTTTCCTTCTAACTGCATAACAGACGTTCTTGAGATGTAGGAATAGCAGATGTACCGCCTCAATCAACTTTCATTTTCCTCCAGCATTTGACGACTGAAAAACACTTGTTCAGCAGTTGATCTGTTACGTCAAAATTCACATTCTTTATTTCCTATAATTTCCTCTGTAAATGGATTTAACCTTGAGAGAAGAAATGGTTGATAAATTTGTATACGAAAGCTGATAACAGTGATATCTCTGAATAATCACTACAATCAGTTCTACCACCCTTCTTGTAATCAAACAAAATATTAGAATCCAACTGCTGAGGAAATTTTGCTTCATTCCGAACAGGACTCGATCCAAAATAAACTTGAACTTAAAGTAGGTTGAATTTCTAGGTTGGGAAATGATCAGATAAATAATATTAAAATGCAATATTCTTTTATATAATTTCAAATACACTGAGTACAAAAATAATGCGTGAAGCTAAGTGAAGACAAATGCATTTATAAATAATAAGTATTTGGTGCGTTTATGCTAGTGGCTGATGACTGATGAAAAATTCAGACAACAAGACGGAACTGAAGAGATGACTAGTTTTCCAAAGCAATTCATTTCAGTTCAGGCTCCTGTCTTATAGAAGCGACACATTTCTGTTCCCATCTGTGGAGATATTGTGTATGCACTTTTTAACATACACAAATTATCTAGAACGTATGCATATTTCCTTTACAGCCATTACGTAGTCTAGTTACTGAACTTACAAAATGGCTGTATTACAAATTTAATTCATGAAATAAAATTTCTCGCCCTGTATCTGATGATAACGTCACTGCGTCGAGGTTAGTGATATCCTCCAAATCCACCGATGTCTCCGAAATCATGTCCTCCGAAGTCGTGTCCTCCGAAGCTGTGTCCCTCGAGGCCACCTCCGAAACTCGACTCATGGTGATGTCCCTTCACGAAGACGGGAACCTTCTTCTCCACCACTACAGGTACCTTCACGGGGTAGGGTTGAGGGACAGGAACCTTCACGGGGTATGGTTTAGGGACATGAACGGGGTGAGGGACTGGAAAAGGCACTTTCACAGGGACCTTCACAGGGTACGGCACTTTCTTCTCCACAGGATAAGGAACCTTCTTCTCTATATAAACGGGGTAGGGTTTTGGTACGGGTACTGGGTAGGGCTTCTCCACATGGACAGGCACAGGGACCTTAACAGGGACAGGAACCTTCTTCTCCACGTGCACTGGATATGGATGCGGGACGGGCACTTTCACTTCTTTGGTGATGGTAATGGCCTTCACGTGACTCTCATGATGGGAGTCCCCTCCGCCAAAACTACCGCCGCCGAAAGAATGACCTCCAAAACCGAAATCCTCGTGACCGCCCAAAGAGAGTCCTCCTCCATGTCCGAAACTTCCACCTCCATACCCCAAATCATGCAGTCCTCTCTTTATCGTCTTGCTGTCCTCCTTCTTCTCCTCCTCAGCCAGAGCCAAAGTGCTTACGAGTAAAGTGAATACCTGAAAATTGCAAATTACTGTCAAAGCTTTTATTGGTTACTCTTCTGTTAACAGCTAATTTCTATTTCAATTTGAGTGGGCTTTCTTTCCTCAAGATTGAAACTAAAGATACGTTAAATTTTGGGTGGAAAGGTCTGTGCGCGTCTACCTCACATTTGCATTATCGTTTGAGATTCTAAATTATTCACACCCGTTTGGGTACTAATTATGAGAAGAATTCCAACAAAATAATTAATTTATTATTAGTGATGACAAGGTTAACTTAAAGACTAATTATATTTTGCATGTCGATTACTTCCCGGGTACATTCATCGACACTTCTCAGCTACCAAAGCTATATAGCTATGTAACAAATGGCGAGTAGCTACTGATCTAGAATGAGACGCTCTGGGTCTACTTGGGATATTCCTTGACAAATTGCGGGAAACTATGAAAGGTTTCAGTCACGATATAAATGTCCCGGCAGAGATTTCACCCCGGTATCACTCGAATAATAGTTTAGAAAATAGCTATTAAAATGATCTGCTCTGTGGAACTATCGACAAGAAACTAAATAATTATTTGTTAACAAAAGAATGAAGGATTATTTATTTATTTATGGCATATTTAATGGCTCTTTCATTAGATCAAGAATATATAATGTCGAATTGTATGAGGATAAGGGAATAATTCATTAGAAACAACGTGGAAGGAAACTGCGATGACTTGTTTTGTGGTACTATCCAAGTATTTGCCTGAAAGTACTTAGGAATACCACGAAAATCCTGTCAGTGTAATAGGTATGTTAGGCGAGATTTGAAATGTAGACCTCCGAATACGAAGGACGAAACGGAATTCATTCCATCCAATGTCGACAGGATCCACAGCCAACGGGATCCATTTAAAATATTTGCATTCATTTTCGTGTAATCCGTTTTTGTCTGTAGTGGTAATATAAAAATTGAGCTGATTTCCGTAGAATTGAGAAAAAAATAAGAATATATTGTCTCTTCTTAAGTAAGTCTCTCGGCATGTATATGAGGTACTCGTTATAATTGACTAAGTTACTAACAGTACGGCAGGAGTTCTCGAGTTTCATACCCATAGTAAGAAGCCGCGTTTTGGATACAATCCTGATACAATTCAGTCACCCGGCCTTCCACCAAAATATCCACTACAAAATTTCTGTATATGTTTCACGTTTCCTCCATTCAAGATATATGTCCACTCCTTCATAACCTCTTACCAATCACTATCGGTTTGCCTGTATGAATCACTTAATTACGTAATGCCACAAATCCCTTCAGATTCAAAGAGTTCCAGACGCTTTGTTTTAAATAACGCACAGGCCTACTTCTTCCTTCGTCAGGGTAACTGATTATGTTCAATTCTATACAAAACAAAATTGTAAAATCCTCAGAATTACTGGGGTTTCGGACTTTGTCCATAGTCCGATATTCTGAAAACTAGAGAACACAACGTTTCGGAAACTGGATCTCTTTCCGTCCTCAGGTGAGAGGGAGACACCTACTCTGTTATTTCCCCTCAATCACCGGACAACTCATGTCGAGTCGAGTCGTATGTTACAGCCGATGGTTAGTCGACCAGTTACTCTTTCAATAAAGTACCCATCTGGGGCTTACAACCAGATTTTTATTACTGTCAGACTGTTGCGGGTTTGTTGAAGTGGGGCGATCTCACTGACAAGAGGACGGGTCTGTCGTTTACAATTACTACTGGTCCTCGTCAGCGTAATTATCCTCGGGGTCCGCGTCATGTGGAACTCGCGAACTTATTTTACTGTCTCAGATTCGAGTCTTCCCTTTTTGTCACCTTCTATGACTCGCAGGGTTACGGTGGAGGTATTCTATCCCGCCCTCACACGGGATATGAACCCATGTCAGATTTACTACAGATATTTAAGTGCCTGAGAACAGGCTACGTAGAAGTGAGATAAGAGGAAAATATGCAATGAAATATTGTGAAAAGGCAGGCACATTCAAGGTACTGGGATAAAACGGGAGGTAGAAATTTCTGCTGAAAACCTAATGAACAAACCAAGTCCATGACGTCAATACAAATAATTAAATGGAGAGTTTGTGAAAACATAGAACGCCTACCTCTAGCGCCATCTGTGGAGTGAAACCTGAACACTCTAGATTAGAATCTTATAGAAACTCGCGAAGAATCTGCCACATCATGCTGATCTTCTCTGTGAGTTGGTAAACTCATTGCTGATAGGGTGTATCTTGATGGGAGAAATGCCCAAACTGGGCTGGCTGACTGGATTGTCAAGCAGGCCACATGGGCCGATTCCTTGTATTTCCTATACTTTCCATTTTTTTTTAAATTCGCTTAGTGGGCGGTGGAGTCCAACTGGGTCCACTCGGCACGGCGGCCACCGATTGGCCTATTGTAGTCTGCCCCAGGTGATTATGATGATGGAGAATTTGGTGGAATGATGATTGGCAGGGGAAACCGAAGAACTCGGAGAAAACCCGCCCCAGCGCTACTTTGTCCACCACAAATTCCACTTGACCAGACCCGGGATCGAACCCTGGCCGCCGCGGTGAGAAGCCAGCGACTAACCGCTTGAGCTATGGCGCGACCTATACTTGCCGTTACTTTCATTTTCCAAAATTCTAGCTTCATCCCAGCCCAGTAAACCTAAAAGTTTATACATCGTCGCCAGAACCCAGAAATGGAAAATATTTCGTTTCTTATACCGGACCTTCAAGGTGTTTCAATAGCGGATGGGATGGTAACAGTTTCCGAACAGAATAGTAACAGGCATTTCAGAATTTATTATTCACCAAAATTCATGATGTACTCCATTCATATTCGTCAACCATGTTCACGACACATAAAGTCTTAAGTATTCTTAAATTGATTTTATTGCAAGAAAGGAAGACACCATGTCCATAAATTATCTTACAGACGTGGAATTCTACTTACGAAGAGCTTCATGTTGCTGTCACGTGTCTGTGGCTGAAGAAGCAACTGTGATGCTGTGAAGTCCCTCCTCTCACGTTCTCCTTTTATACCTGTTTCATATGCTCTCACGTGAGACCAATGCTTTCTTTTTTACTTGTCGTACTTGTGCGCTACATGCTAACACACTTGCTACATCATCTGTAGGCGCTTCCTGCCTTATGTCACACAGTTCTGCATGTGGTCTCTTGCTGACAAGTCAGACTTCAGCAGCGAAGGAAACAACATGGTTGGTACACATGCAGACAACATGACGCTAATGATCTATTCCACACTCTCAAGAAACAAACACAAAACAAATAATTATGTGAAAAATTAAACACTATGCCATGAAGGCCTTTGGGGTAGTCGATGTATAGATCCACATTTCCTTAACCTCGGCACTAGCTGGAGGGGAGTAGTCAGCTTCACGCCCCTGCAGCTTTACTCCCGGGGGAAAAAACCCGATACCCACTGAATATGAGGTTGGATGACCCCAGAGCCGGTCTGGACGACATGGTGAAGTAAAAATTCTTGCTCTTACCGGGACTTGAAGTCCGACCTCTTGACCGTCCAGCCCGTAGCCAGTAGCTACGAGTATACAGACTGAGCAATCCTTGATTTCTATTAAATCCTGTTATAAACAGCATGAAAAGCACAAACAACACAGCAAGCCACGAGCAAACCCTGGACGACATCAAGAACCTCCTCATCAAGATAGATAGGCGGCACAAAATCTGCCCCATGCAAGAAGGACGATAGGAGTGTGAACACGAACCTACGTGGTTTAAAAAACTTTAACTAGTGACAAAGGTTTTTTAAATTAACATCTAGAAACTTTAAAAACTTTACGATACCAGGAAGCTGCTGTGATTGTGAAATGTTCGACTTTATGCGTACTGTGCATTATAGGATATAAGTGTATGTATTTTAAATCGAAACACCTATTGTGATAGTAGTTTCCAGTTCGTAACGATGTTCCCTCTGAAGATGATCCGTACGGACCGAAATATGTAAGGGAGATAAGTTTTCATGTAGTAAAAACTTATATGTCACATTGGACGGAGTGGTTTGTATTTATACATGAAAAGCAATTTTATGATTATGAGGACCACTGAGCTGTTTGTGAATATTTTTTCTCCTAGTATTCATGCAATATTATAATACGGCACTTATCACACATTAATACAGAAGGAGTAAAGTTTAGAACCATCGTCATGTTTGTAATGTGTAACATAGATTAAGTAAATGATATAATGATACAAATTCCGTCCCAAGTGCAAACAATATATTATGTGTCTTTGATCTTGCTCCTCTACACTACATGTTTCGGCCTCAGACGGCCATCATCAGGTGTATAACACTCACGTTGCTGTCACACTGCACCCAGCCCAAAATTTAACATTTAAAAACACTTTCCTTCTTATTACCAACATCTACTTCGTTGATATCTGTCTGGTTTGTAGATTATTTTACACACGTTAATTTTGACGTACCTGTAGTAGCACTATAAAATCTTTAGTTCTATTTTTAAAATCTTTTAAAATTTTTCTCTAAATTTTAAATTTAAAATTGTTAGGGTTACTCGCCCTATGTCTAAAGTGCTGCAGGGGCTAGTTCTTGTTTCCACACTGTACAGATGTTATCTGTGTAGTCTTCCTGGGACGGAATTTGTATCATTATATTATTTATCGTATGGAGTGCAACAGGATGCTTAAATATAATATAGATTAAGTACCTTTGTGGATCTGACTTTGCGTTTTGCTTTTATGCTATCCATGTGCATCATCGGTTTCTATTCTCCCGTCGTGTTCTCTTTGCTGCCACTACATGTTTCGGCCCACCAGGCGTACAGGTTGTTGCGATTAAGACATCTGCTCCTCATTGTGATGCTGTTTTGTTTCTCTTATGTAGTGGAGCTTGTACACGTGTTTACCACAGAAACTCCACATATTCCGTCTCAAAAACATATAACTTATATTACATAAAAATGTATACTGCGCAAATTTCGCACGACCTCCATATTGTTATTGTACGAAAATATTGCCATAAAATGTGTTGTTCGTTCTTTGAAGACTTATTATAGCAAAAAGTGTGTGTTTGGGGAAGAGGGATAAACGGCGCTAGTGCAATAACCCCAGAAGTTTACACAGTTGGTAATACTGACGGTACTGAATTACACTGTATGAAATTGAGGTGTCATGTATTGACATGAGCTCATATCAACTCTGACGAAAATTCTACCTTAGTTAAAAAAAAAAATTGAGCGGAAGAGTACATTCATAATTGACTAACTATCTAAGGTCGCGCCATAGTTCAAGCGGTTAGTCGCTGGCTTCCCACCGCGGCGGCCCGGGTTCGATCCCGGATCTCGTCAAGTGGGATTTTTGGTGGATGAAGTGGAGTCGAGGCGGATTTTCTCCGAGTACTTCAGTTTCCCTGCCAATCTTTATTCCACCAAATTCTCCATCATCATAGTCAACCGGGGCAGGTACAATAGGCCAATCAGTGGCCGCCGTGCCGAGTGGACTCAGTTGGACTCCACCCCCACACTAAGCGAATTAAAAAAAAAAAGGAATCTAACTATCTAAGTATATGAGGCTGAGTCCTTCTTGAGATTCCAACATTTCTTACCTGCACAAGGAATTTACATTATTTTATGGAACCCGAGTGTTTATTGTTGTGCTCACAAAAACCTTTCACTTATTTTGGCATTCTCACCTTGCCGTCTGTATGCAACTTCGTCCTTATATAAAATTCACACTTCGAAGGTTCTTTGTGTCTTTTTATTATTTATGTAACACCACAAATTTCGGCCTAACTGGTCATCATCAAGTGTACGAGTATAAGATTGTAGAGGAGAACTGTTGCTCTGCTGTAACACTGTTGTAGTCTGCAACTTATGATTATTATAAAATGCTTTTAAAATTCTCTGTTTTTTTAAGATTATCATGCCATGGTTACTTTCGCTGTGCACATATGTTGTGAGTTTGGTGTGCGTTTTTTGATGTTTTGGATTCTTTCCTTGTTGTTGTGTGTAACTCTAACAACGGTAGTAGTTTTCATCCATAATCCCGCACACCTGATGATGGACAGTTAGGCCGAACTTTGTAGTGTTAAATAAATAATAAAAAGACAGAAAGAACATTAGAAATGTGAATGGATGAAGTTGCATAGAGACGGTGAAATGAGAGAATTGAAATTGGAACAGGCTGCTGCAACACAATACCATGAACAGCCCGTCACTAGTATCCCGTACTAAACCCGGGTTCCTAAATTTATGTACTTGAAAAAGACCGTGGCCTGTAGTCCGCAAGCAAACTATATCGACCGAGCGACCACCGCTTGACAATGAAGTTAGTGCCAACTTTAGTGGATAGAGGGTGTCGCAAGGTCAGCGCAACGGATCCCCATGGCAGTTAATCTCCATTTTCTAGACCGGAGCTGATATTTCCTTGAAATAGCTTCTCAATTATCCTCATAAGGCTGAGTGGACCCCGTTTCAGGCCTACTAATTCTCAGAAAATCTGGTAGCGACGAGAATTGAACCCGGGACGTCTGGATATGTAAACAGGAACTCTGACCACTAGACCACAGAGGCGGTCTTTATGTGCTTGAAACTAATTTAAAATATAATTTAATTCTCCTATAATGGAAGTATAGATGGCTACTGAGTGGATTTAATCCTCTGGCATTTTATCCAAAAATAATGGCTCATTCGGAGCTGTTCATTGACTTACGTCTACATGTGTATGGCTTTACACGTTTTTCCCCTTGGCACTACAGCCCCAGTGGACCTAGGCCTACCTCCGTGAACTCCGTTCACTTCGGTTTACTAGATCTTACACATTTGGTAGGACTCCTTGGGCGAGTGATCAGCTCGTCGCAAGGCCTCTACCTTTGGACAAACACAGAAAAACGCACACAAACATCCATGCCCTGAGTGGGATTCGAACCCACGATCCCGGCTTCCGAGCGAGCGAAGACAGTGCATGCCTTAGACCGCTCGGCTTACAGCCTTGCTAATTACATTGTGATATAGCGGGAAAAGAACCAGCGAATGGAACCACTGTTCCATTTTCACGAAGCCCAACACCTTAGGGCTATTAGCGGATCCAGTTGTTTTTAAGGACGGAGGAGGTGCAAACCTTTTCACATTTTAATTGCTTCCTATGAGGATGAGGAAGTATGCACATGCTAAAGTCACACATGAATGCCTTTCCTGCTGTCTCACGACAAAGCAGAAGTGGAAACTGCATAGTGTGGCTGTTAGACCCATATATAACTAATAAAGACGGAGTCCAGTGTGTATACGTATTCTTAACTCTTTCACACGCTATACTCGCGATACCATCTTGTTTAGTAGCACCGACTCTTTCACCTTTATTCCTTCGATTCAGTAAAATATTTCTGAAAGGAATGTCTTCCTTCATCTCTCAGGAATTCGAGATATTATGACTTTTCAGCAATAGAAATCTTACGTTATAACACAACACAGCACAGCACAGCACAGCACAGCACAGCACAGCACAGGACAACACAAGACAACACAACACAACACAACACAACACAACACAACACAACACTACACTACACTACACTACACAACACAACACAACACAACACAATTAAACTCAACTCAACGCAATGCAACGAAACACAAAACAACACAAAACAACACAACACAACACAGCACAGCACAACACAGGAAATGCTGTCAAGAATATCAATATGGCGACCATGCAAATATTTTAACTGGGAGCATTACCAATAGCACTTAAGTACACCATTCGAAATAACGTATGCAACTCTTTTAATGTAGTCCTCTTGTAGAGTGCATGGTAACTTACGGCATAGTGTAATCTATACGTATTTGCCATTATTATGGCAGTGTCGAATGCAACATTCAAGCTCGGAAGGTCCGATTTCATAAGGAGCTAAATTTCAAGCATGCAAATACATTTTCTGTTGAAGTAACAATTACATTGTTCCTCATGATTTAAACGCAGTTGGAACTTCTACTTATGAAGGATTTGAGGTCCTCGCAGAAATGATTGCTAAAAGTTCAGTTTTC